TTATGTATCATTCAACTTCAATCAATGTATTATGATTTCTAATTAAACAATATAACTCTTCCAAATTTAAAATTATATTTCCATAATTATTTTTTCTGTGGCAGCAACGCGCCGGGTCCCAGCTGGTATTGTATATAAATGGCCATTTGTTAAAATATCAAATAATATAGTGACCAGGCTAATAAATATTGATCTTTCCCAATGATATTTGTTAAGTTTTAGGTTACAGGCTGTTTGTTATATTTATGGCGCGATCTACTTATTTAGGACCCTTATTTACGATGTGTTTGTTTAGTAACTTAGTTCTTTTAGATGTCTCTTGGAAGAATGTATATTCACTAGAACATCAAAAGCCGTTGGTAATAATCTTATAATTATTTTAAGCTAAAGAACCACGTTCAGGAAGAACGAATCAAAAAAGATAAGAACATTAAATCGTCCCTATTCCATTTGTATCTGGTTCACATCAGTCAAATTCTTATAATTAATCTCTTCCTATTTGGAAAAGGCTCACAATATTTGTATAAAATACCCGATAAAAGAGATTCTCTCTCCTACATTTAAAAAATGTGGGGGAGGCACACGTTTCCACACACGCCGTGTACGGTTAGCACCAACCAACCAACGCGCTCCCCTTGAAGAGGGACTTTGGGTTTTGGATCGTAGTCTACAGCAAAATAACCGGTGAACTAGTCAAAGAGGGCTTGGCCTCATGATAGTGCCTAAAGACAAATATCGAACAAAGTCGCGCGTAAAAGTTATTCAGAATACGATCCAATCCAGCCACAGTGAATGTACGTAACATGATTTATGCACACATCGAAATAATAGGCTTACTAGCCATAAAAAGCCCTCCGTGAGCGCCAACACCTACCAGATCGCCGATCCTGCAGACCTGATGTAAGTGTAAGGCATCACCACCAATTGCATGGTCAGCACGGCTTCTAGCCGTAAAGCGTGTCATGAGTCTACCGCTCAGTTCAAGAGAATGGAGTCCCACGTTGAGCGGCTTTCAGCTGCAGCCTTGAGAGTCTCATCCCTCCAGCTACCACCCACATGAAGTCGACACATATGCTTCACCAACCAATACAGTGACAGATATAGCCAAAAGGCAGTTATAAGATAATCATAATAATTCTCCATCAGAAAGGGTGTGTGTAAGTGACGTTGAGTATATGCATTTTTCGATCATGTCTGTCTCACCCACCAACAAGTTGCCTTCAATCATTCAAAGGTGGGATATTCGCAGAGATATTTTATTGTTGTTATATTAAACACCATGGAGGTCAACCAGTCTGCAGCCCCGTCATGAAAGGAACCGACTTGGACAAAGTTACTTAGGTGTGAGTCAAACCAAGACGCAGAGAATGCTACTGAGAAAAGCGAACCGCCCAACAACCATCGCATAGACGCAATGCTGCAGTACGCAACAAGCATCAATACGACTATCGTCGGACTTATACCATCTCAAGGTCTCTCATACGATCCCAGACATCAATACCCGCATACCTTCATCGACCAAAACCACAAGATGCGTCGAATCAGGCGCAGTAGACCCGTAGATCGTAAACAACTCATTGATCGATCGTAAGATAATTATAGATGTCGCCGCCAGAGGACCCAAAAAAACCAAAATTACTTTTATTACATTTAATTTAATAGATATTACAACTAAAAAGAACCAATACTACTTAAATCTAATTAAACCTACACCCCGCCCGATGTTAGAAACGAAGTGAGGTGGCATCGTGGAATTTCGTATATATAATGCTGTCGGATGACGCCGCGGGCGTCACTGTGAATCCACGGCAGCCACATTTTCCATCAGGTTAGCAGAATTGCCTCTCTGAATCTGCCTGGGTTTCTGGTAAAGTGCTATGTCGGTTGACATCGCGTGCGTCATTGTGAGTCCACGGCGACCGAGTTTCTCATCAAGTCAGCAAAACTGCCTCGTGGAAGCAATGTTGAAATGTTGTGTGGGAAAATAAGGTTGCCGCGTATATGTAACACCTCCCCCCTGAGAACAGCAACTATTTCTGAGTCTTGAGATGATGAAATATTGCTGTCTTCTGTGGTTCAGATTTTCCAGGTTTCGCGTAGATTTCTTCTTTGGATGGGAGTTGCGATGCTTTTCAATAGGCAATAGTCCGTTACGTTTTAAAGTAAGAAGACTTGTAAGTACGAGTATACTTAATATCATTATAGTGAAATAAATGTAAATTTCGAAATAGATACTATTCTAAATAATAACGAAATGTATTCTGAACCAAGTGACATTAGTGAAGCTTTTAATAATTTTTATATAGACATGACCAATACAAATGATTTTAATTTTAAAATAGATGACATCAATAAAACTATGAATATCAATTATTTAAACACAATATTTTTAAAACCAACAGATGAAATTGAAATAATTAATATAATTAGAAGACTTAATAATACTAATTCAGTAGGATTAGATAATATAAATACAAAAATAATCAAAGCCTGTGCTAAGTACATATGTGGACCTTTGAGCTACATTATAAACATGTTGCTTGAGGAAGGTACTTTCCCTGAAATTTTAAAAAAATCGTTAAGCCCTTATATAAGAAGGGAGAGGCTACTGTAATTATTAAGTGTAAGGATAGAAACAACTATGAAAATGAAATATCTATTGCACTCGACAAAATCTTTAGATGGCTTAAAAGTAACAATTTAAAAATAAACTTAAATAAAACCAAGTTGACACAATTTAGGGATTTTAGAACGCCACCTATTGAACTTAACATCTGTTACGATAGTACAAAAATTGAACAAATCAACTATACTAAATTTTTAGAATTAATGGTTGACAGACACTGTAACTGGAAGAATCATATAGTGTACGTATGCGATAAACTGGAGAAATTTGTTTATGCTATAAAACAGCTGCGGTTGACAGTGACTAATGAAGCGGCACTGGGCGCTTACCATGGCTATGTCTCCTCAGTGCTTTCATATGGTCTCTTGTTGTGGGGCAACGCGGTTGAGGTTGGCAAGGCCTTTCGTGTTCAAAAGAAGTATGTAAGGGCTATTTGTGGAGCTTGGTCTTTAGATAGTTGTAAACCTTTATTTCACAAATTTCACATACTGCCTCTAGTTTGTATGTACATACGGGAACTTTGTGTTTTTGTCAAACAGCATCCACAATATTTCACCATTAACTTAAGTTTAATCAGTAGAAGTGCCATGTCAAGAAATAAATTAAAGCTCCATCTGCCTCTATGCAAACTTCACATATATAAAAGAAATGTATTTATAAATGCTATTAGAGTTTACAATAAATTGCCTAATACTTTTAAAGACCTCCCTTTCTTTATTTTTAAAAGGAAACTCACAGAATGGCTGGCAACAAAATGTTTTTATAGGTTAGACAAATATATGAATTATAAAGAAACGTAAAATAATGGTGAAATATAGAAAAACTTATTAATTCTTTTAATATTTATTTTATTTTATATTCTTTTGACATTTTTTTTAGATACTATCCATTTATATATAATCAAATACCTAATTAATTCATATTTTTGACATATATTTATTGTAACTTAAAAACTTGACGCTAAAATATTTTTAAACAACTACATAATTATTTTTCCTAAATATTTTACCTCGTTAAAATGTAATAATAATATTTTTTTGTATATTGTAGATATTGCACACCATTATCATGGTAGAATGTAAGGTCTCATTAATAAATAACAACATCATAATATTATGTACTACATTCTGGCAATAAATAAATTTGAATTTGAATTTGAGTGTAAAGTGGGACGGTCGTATGGTATTTTACAAGTTGACCAAATTTCGACGAAATTTGGTCAACTTGTAAAATCGATTGTGACATCAGATTATGTTAAATTTTATGTACGTAATCTCTGTAAGTCAATATAATTGAGATGCATGTAAGACGAGTTATTCAGATGAGTAGCTGGGTTATAGGTAAGCTTCGTGATCTTCAAAGGCTGTCCTTTCACTCAGTCGTTGATGTTAGTGATGATAAACTCCGTAGTACACAGAAAGCAGTTCATTGGGAGGGTAACCAGGTAAGTACCATTTAAGATACTGTAATCCTCTCGCCCGCACCGAGTATGTATCTTCGTGGCGTTACGGAATGACAAGACGTAATGTTTCTCATCAAGTTCCTCTAAAGCTGTTCTGGACAGGGTGACGGTGGTCCATCTGGCAGGTCTTGCTAAGGGATTGATTGATGATAAGTTCTTGGGTGCAATCTGGATGCTGTCAAAGCTGGTAATCCATCTTCTTACTACAGAGGTACCAGTGACTGTACTTCGGTCATTCAGCCTCTATGTACACATAACCTTTCCTGTTTGTTGCTATCAATGGATAAGGAGGGATGTGAGCCTGCTGGTAGTTATTAGGAGCTACACGTAATTAATATAAGTCGTAAGTATCTAGGGCGAATATACAATTATTACTTTATTTCCCGAATAATAATAGCCAGGTTTTATTATATCATTATATTTCCTAGGTTATATATAATTCAAATATAAGTTCTTTACTGTATATAGGGACTAATTTATGAATCATGCTACTAAGTACCCCGACACTTACGTTGGGTGGTGAGTACTTGAGGAACAAATGAAAGCCGAGTTAGCTCTTCTAATATGTCGTCTATGTTTTCCGTTACAATAACTAAATATTGGGCAAACTTAGCGAATTTTATGAGACTCGGATCTCTGTAAGCATCTGCATCTAAAATAATTTTTAGTTTCATTTATTTTATTTTATATTCAATTAATTTAGTCATTATTTTAGAATTCTGGGTCATCCACTCGTTATTTAAGCTTATATGGGTATTAAATTGACTGGTAAGTTTATTCTTATTATCCTGAAGAACTTTGATAGCATTATCATACCTTATAGCATCTGAGTTGTCAAGTTTTCGATGATAGTCTTTTGAATGGAACCTAATCCATCTATGATTGGGTCTATCCCAATACTCATCCGCCAACATGAGTGTAGTCCAGTTAAACATCAACGGTCGCAGGCTATACATAGCATCCGTCTATATTGAACCCAATAGTGATGAAGACAATACTTTACAACGTCTAGATAATTTCCTTAAAATGACATGCAACAGCCAGCAGTTGGTGTGCGGTGATTTCAACGGTTGGCATCCCATATGGGGTAGTAATCGTGCAAATTCACGCGGAAATGAAATAGTAGATATCGTACATGGTAACAATATGTTTTTCTGCAACAAAGGTGACACTCCTACCTTTGAAACCATCTCCCATGGTCAAATTCGTCACTCATTTATAGACCTCACTATGGCCTCTAGTACCATATACGATCGGATACTGGACTGGAAGGTTGATCTCGACATATGCCCCTCATCACAACACAGGGCCATTGCGTTCTCAATCTGTTCTGTAAAAAGAGAAAGCAACTATGGTAAAAGTACCACTACATTCAAATATAATACAAAGAGAGTCAACTGGGATGAATTAAGGTCTCCATTCATAAGCACGATAGAAGAACGTTTACCCCATAATGTAGATATTGAAAACTTGCCTGAAACTGAATTAGAAGAATACATTAACTGTATTACTTCTATAATACAGACAACCTGCGACATATTAATTTCAAAATCAAATGCTCGTAAGTATCGATGCCCGTGGTGGACAGACCAACTTGAAAGTATTAAGAAAGATGTCATTCGTAACCACCACAGAATTCAAAAACTGATACGTCAGAAAAAACCTATCGAGAGTGCTCTTGAAGAAAAGTTACGACTCAAAGAAGCATACTCAAAAGCATTTAGAGAAACTTCTACAAGAAATTTCAGGGAATTCTGCGAAAAACAAGGCAAGGAAGACGTCTGGTCAGTCACAAACAGAATAATAAAATCTGGACCTCCAATACAACCTCCAGTAACCCTGAAAAGGAACGATGACACGTTTACCACCAACAGCTCGGAAACAGCTCAAGAGCTTCTTAATCGTTTCTATCCGGAAGACGAATTTAAAGATACCCTGCAACACACGGAAATGAGGAACTTTTCCTTGGCCATGCCGGATACACCGGATGAGCCTCCATTCACCTTTGAAGAGATCATATCATGTCTTAATAGTATGAATCCTAGAAAGGCCCCAGGCACCGACCATCTTACTGCAGATATCTGTCTACTCTTCGCAAATTGCTTTCCACATTTAATCACATCTGTTATGAACCAATGTCACAAACTCGGTTATTTTCCCAAAATATGGAAGCAGGCGTTTATAAAAATACTTCCCAAGCCCAATAAAGACGATTATACTAATGCATCTTCATTCCGTCCCATTGGTCTAATAAACGTGTTCGGAAAGTTATTAGAGAAGCTTATTATACGTAGGCTTACATATTTCATGCACTGCAATAAACTGTTCAACCCAGCTCAATACGGATTCAGAGAACAAACTTCGACTGTCAATGCACTCAGTAATTTGATTAATAATATTTCTCATGCCATAAATAACAAGGAACACGTAACTGTCATTTCACTCGACATACATGCTGCATTCGACAACGCTTGGTGGCCATCTATATACAGAAAACTACATAAAATTAATTGTCCTCGAAATATTTACAAAATACTTCATAGTTATTTTCAATGTCGTAAAGCAACAATTAACATTTGTGATAGCTCCGTAAGTAAAATCTTAACCAGGGGGTGCATACAAGGTTCAGTGTGCGGTCCATTTTTATGGAACCTCATAGTGGATGAACTCCTGGACATGAAAATGCCTTCGAATTGCACTATCCAAGCGTTCGCCGACGATATCCTTCTTATATCTCATGCCAAAAATATAAAGAACTTACAAAACAATACCAATCAAGCTCTTACCATGATCACAAAATGGGGACAGGACATGAAGCTCACTTTTGGAGCAACTAAAACTCAGGGCATTGCATTTTCTAAGAAGGCTGCTGGATGCAAACTCTATATGTCAGGTCACGAAATACAATTTTCTAATGAAATCAAACTGCTTGGAGTCGTAATAGACAGAAAATTAAAATTCATTAGGCATGTCGATTATATAGTTAATAAAGCCCGCAAATTATACAGCAAACTTATATTATTTGTCAAACCTACTTGGGGTATCCATGCAGAAAATATAGAGATTATTTATAAACACGTAATACAACCCATTATTTGCTATGCGGCCTCCATCTGGCAGTCTGCCCTTAAATATAAGTGCGTAGTAAACAAATTACTTTCCTTGCAGCGTGGATTCGCATTGAATATTATTCGCGGTTTTCGTACTGTGAGCACTGTAACTAGTATATCCCTTGCACAACTGAGCCCATTACCTGCTAAAATAGCAGAAACGGCTGACAATGAATTGACAAGAATATCGCAGAGATCACGATATCTCCCAAACGACATCACTCTAGACACACCAGCCGAACCCGAAAAGCTTTTACATCCATCTCTGAGAAAGTCAATTAAATTTTATGAAAACCCATCATTAAATGACATGACAAACGAAATTCAAAATGGCTACTGTATATTTACGGATGGAAGCAAACACGATGGAAAAGTGGGTGCAGCAATGGTCGTAAATAAGCCTGATGGACGCCAACTTATTCGGAAATTTAAATTACACGACTCCTGCTCTGTGTTCCAAGCTGAACTACTCGCGATTATGAAATCCTGTAGGTGGGTCCTAGATAATAATACAACTCCTGCGTACATTTTCTCAGACAGTAAATCCGGATTACAGGAAGTTTACAATCCAAATAGTCATAACTCCCTAGTCGTGATTATTCACAAAATCTTACACCAATGTCAGATTAAAAATCTTAATATTAAATTCTTTTGGGTAAAAGGACATTCGGGCATCCCTGGAAATGAAACAGCAGATCTAGCCGCTAAAAGTGCTGCCGCTTCCCATCGATCATACGATTTTACACAATTTCCTATGAGCTACGTCAGACATATTAATTATCAATACACAGCCGCAGAAATGAAATCATTTTATTCTCAAAACAACCAATCTATTTACACCAAGTCATTGCTTCCAACATATGAAGATCTTACAAAATTCATTGAAGTATTCAAGCCCAATTTCGCAATAACACAGTTCCTCAGCAATCATGGGTATCACAAAGAATATTTATACCGCTTCAAAATAACAAACGACGACAAATGTCCATGCGACTTATCTAGTATCCAGTCTATGGCACATCTTATCCAGCAGTGTCCTGTATTTAGTAAAACTCGGGCAAATCACGAGATTGCATGTACAATGCTAAAAATCAATCCGTATGATATGTCTCAAATAATTAGTAAGGAAACCAGCATTGAAACCTTTAAAGTCCATGTCACACACATTGTTAATAATCTGAAAAACCTCAATAAAAGTACATAGGTGATACAATTGACATTTAGTTCCGACAGTTGACAGTTCAAATAGCTCTAGCATGATTTCAGTAAAATATGTACAATACATAAGTAAAATAAAAGTTAATCCAGATAAATTGCTACTTCATACATTTCAAAGTAAAGCCACCATAGTAAATTAAATGAAAAACATATAAAATCAGAGTAGCTAAAAATGTAATCAGTGAATCATGCTCAAAATGTGAATAATGAATAAAGACAAATTTCACAAAAAATGTTTATTAAACTCACTGTTAAACAACAATAATAACACATAAATAGTAAACTGTAACCACAAACACCACATACCATTAGGAATTGTATACCAATAGCAATTCCTACTGGAATATTTAGGAACAAAAAAAAAATCCATCTATGAGACCTCTTTTTACGCGTGTTGGCTGTAAAGTTTCTAGGTGCTTTGTAGCTTTTAGTAATTTAGAAGACAAATATTCTATTTGAAATTCGTACAGTATGTAAGTATCATTTTTCAACTGAAGCTTGAATTCTGCTAATTGTACTTGTAATAATTCTATTTTATCGCTAATGTCTTTAAGTTGTATAAACTGCAGGAACGTATGATAGTGCGTAATTAACCTTGTCGATCCAAGTCGAAATGGTAGTAATCTAGGGCCATCATCGTGGCTCTCAAATTTTGCCCCCTGAATGGTTTCCTAGGCCACTATCAAAGGAGTAGTCAGGACCAGAAGCACCCAGCGAGCGACAGGTCCACGTTTTTTTGATGTATATATATGAATGGGCAAGTCTGCGAGAGCAGTATCCTGTAGTGTTGCCCAAAATCGGTCTTGGTCTTGCAGTCTTGGTCTTGTTCTTGCATTTTTGCAAGACCAAGACCAAGAACAAGACCGCCTCTTTTTAGCAAGACCAAGACCAAGACTGACCGTGCAAGATTTGCGCAAGAACAAGACTTAGCTTGCGAGACTCTTGCGTCTTGCAGTTAGGACTAAGTGTCATTTCAAGGAGTATAGCAGTTCGGGTATACGCTTAAGGACTCTATAAGACGCAAAAAATATAATGAAAAAAAAAAAATTGGAAAATTGGACTTATGCGCATTACGAACAATACCATAAATATACATAGCGAATGAAAATATCCATTAAAAGAAAAAAGAGTGCATCCCTAGTTTTGACCATCGGCACTTTGATGGTGCGCAGCGTCTTGTTGTCGGCGTCATCAAGGGTCGGATACTGACCTGTCAAAGAAATTGTGCAGCTATTCGAAAGTACAAGGTCAAGATACACGTGCCGGCGGCTACTATTGATATCGCATACAATCGTCGCCGCTGCGCCACACGCACTACATTTGACACTGTTTGATTGCCGCCACAGAGTACATGTTTCAAAGAATAAAATAAGTTTCCGGGTGCTCAGAATGTACACGAATACATTATCCTGATCTCGCAAGAAATCTTGTAATTAGATAATAGGTAGGTATCATAATAATTTATTCTAGTAAGTAATTATTATAAAATGAACTATATGGATTTATAATAATTACTTACTATTATTGTTATTATTATTACCTAAAAGATAAACATGTTCAGTAAGTTCACTGCAAATCTCGACTTTTGCAAGTGTGTGTTTTTAAAACACAAAGTGCTCGAATATGTCGTCACACATTTGATAAATATGGTTGACACCATAGCACTTTTAAAACACTTGAAATGTGTAAAAATGGATCTGGATCTTGTCTTCAAGTTATTAAGGAGTTTAGTTATTAAGGAGTTGGAGGGGTACCTAGGTAAACCCAGAGCCGTCATCTCGGAAGACATTTTAGACTGTTGGAGGACGCATGAGACAAAATATCCGATTTTATCGAAGATGGCCCGTGATTTTCTTTTAATACCTGCAACTTCAGTACCTGCTGAGAGATTATTTTCTAAAGCATCATTAGTAATTAGAAAACATAGAAATAGGTTAAGTGATGAGTCAGCCAGATGGTTACTTTGTATTAATGCTTTGTCAAAAGAATAAATATAAAGTAACAGTAATTTCAAAGCTGTTGTGTTTGCATCGTATTTTATTTTTTATTTAAATAAATTGTATATTGTATAACTCTTTTATTCCATTTCATATATGGTGAGGGTCCATCAATCTCTTTCTAGAGAGATAATGTTATTTAAAATACAGTGTAGTTATTGCCATTAATTTGTTTTTATATGTATGTTTAACCATGTTTTAGCACATGTAAGCTTATTAAATGTAAACGTTTATTAAGAACCTGACGCCCGTGGCCGTGGGACACGGTAGATGGCTCAGTTGGTTAGAGCATCGGCACGGATCGCTTAGGTCGTGGGTTCAAACCCCACCCGGTGTCAGTTGATTTTTCGAATTTCTCCTTAAATGTTTAGACATTTATTAATATGGTTGGTCTTTACTATGACTATGTTAATTCCAGCTTAAGATGTACCTACTCTGTTAAGTTGTTCTAAGATCTAAAGTAACATTTAATAAATAGTAATAGGCTAATAGGTCATTGCGAGACTTGCGAGACTCTTGCTGCAAGAACAAGACCAAGACCAAGACTGGGAGCGCAATACCAAGACTAAGACCAAGACCTGGTGTATTGGCGCAAGACCAAGACCAAGACTTGCTAAGTCTCGTCTTCTTCTTGCATTTGGGCAACACTAGTATCCTGACTATACCTTGTGGCTAACTTTTGCCGGCTTGCTAAGGGGTTACTTATAAAGACGCGTTGTTGGGGCTGGTATTCAATTTTCGGTTCGCGGGTTTATTCCGATTCTTTTATATGAGTACGCTTATCTAGGGACAAATTGTTAATTGCGTCATATACTAATTTCATTTTTCTCGATAATTTTGGACGTATTGTTGCATTAAATGTTTGGTCATATCTACGTCAAATGGATATCGAGGATCAAAGTGGTCATTTTCTATGTTAAAAGCGATTTTTGGTGTATATCATTTGGATCCATTTCCACCTTATTCCAGCATTTTACGATGTGATCTCAAACTTCTCTATGTATATACGGATATCGGTAACTTTTTGTGTAGATAGGAATTTCGTCTGTTGCCCTAATACGATGTTTAATTTTTTTTTTCGAAATTTAATTCTCTCCATCTATATAAAATACGTCGGCATATTTTCTACATAATAATTCTAAATTTGCTCGTTCCTTGGGGTTCAATTGGTTTGTTCGTAAATTATTGCGTCTCCGTCGCTTATATTTTAATGGAACGTTTGAAAAAAAGTCTCAAAAGCTGCCGGACTTATGAAAGACTGATTAGCACCAGTGTCTATCAGAAGTTTTAAGGGCGGATCTAAAATTTGAATATATACAAGCTGTCTCTGAGAGTGTAAATTTAATTCTATTTTGGCTTGTCTGACTTCACGCGCATATGAAAATCCTGTTCCTCGACAGAGCTAGTTGATGGCTGTGGCTCATCAGAGTAGCCCGAGGGTCCCTCATTTGCTACGTCATAACCCGACTCTACCAAAGGCATCTTAGTATAACAAAATTCATTTTCATGGTAAAAATATTCGTAAGGTTCATATAAATAACATCCAGGGTAGTAATAATCACCGTAAC